CCCACCCCCGAGGCCGCCAGGAGCCGACAGACCCCCGGGAGGCCCCCCCGCGCCAGGGGGGGCCGCCGGCGCCCAATCCGAGGGAGGGAGGGCGCGCTTTCCAGAGGAGGGGTCGCGGCTGGAGAGCGGCGCGCGCGGCCAACTCCAGCTTCAAAGTTTAAGCAGGGAAGAGCGGAGTTGCCTGGAAGCGGGGGAGGTCGGAGGGGTGGGGTCCCAAGGCGTCCCCATGCCCTGATCCCCGGGGAGAAGGAGGCGACGGGGGCAGCCGGGAAGCGGAGCACTTACTTCTCGCGCGCCTGTCCGTCGGAGGGCACGCTGGAGCCCTTGCCCTTGGCGTACATGGCTCGGGGGGAGGCCCCCGCCGCGGCCCCTGCCGTTAGAGGAGCAGGAGGAGGAGGAAGCGGTCTGGGGATCGGGGCCGCCCCCCGCAGCAGCGCTGGAGCCCCATCGCGCCGCCGTCGAGCGCCCCCCGAGCTAGACTGAGCGAGGAGCCTACGGACGCCACCCCGACTGAGGAGGCTGGGCGCCGCGCCGATGGCTCCGGGCTGCCTCCAAAGAGCGAAGACGGCCCCGGGCGACCCTCCCCTCCCCGCTTTCTCCCCCCCTCGCCTTTTCGTGGCTGTTCCAAGAAAGGGGCCTCCTCCCCCTCCCTGCCTCCATCGCCTGGGCTCTTAAAAGGGCAATGCCATTTCCATCTGGAGGAAGGCAAGAAGGAGGGGGCCGCGCAGCCTCGGCTGAAGTCTTAACCGCTGGTTCACGCTTGTTCTGGGTCTCCCGGGTTAGCTGTTTAATTTATGCAAGCAGGCTGGGTTCCCACTCCACGTTTAGCCAGGTCAGACGGAGACCTAGCGGCTGCATTTGTGGAATCGACTAGGCTTGCATAGTGCTAACTTTGGGGGTTGGGGGGAGGGGAGCCTTAGGATGCTATGTGAACCCTGTCCTGTTGGTTAGTTTATGGCTTAGTATATTGTTAATGGGTTAATTCAGTATTCAAGTTAACAGTGCAGTTACAGTAGTAGGTGGGCCACCCTTGATCTTGAGGCTCATGGTATGATCTTGGACCCTGGTAGTCCTTGTTTTGGAACCTCTCCTACCTTGCAAGATTGTTGTTGTAAAATAAAAGCAAAGTCTTTGGGAAAAGGATAAGATGTAACCATAATAAATAATAATGTAACCTGCTACAGTATTGCCAGGGAGAATCCATCTAAGAGCCCTCTAGTAGCTCCAATAGCTAAATGTAATTCTTTGAAAAGGGATCAGAACTGGAGCTGCTAAGCGGCTTACTCTCCAGATTTTATTGTTTCCAACTCAACAGAGTGTTGAAAAAAATCATGTGAAGGGGCTCAGGTCTCCTGCCTGTTCATCTGTCAGCAGATAACTCTGGAAACAACAGAATGAACCAAAGAAGGATGTCCTCACATCAGAGCCTCCATCTCAGAGGCAGCCCGCTGCTAAGACAAGCTGAAGTCAGGCTAAGGTGCTGCAACCTTAAACAAGAGTTTTCCATCCTGTGCTAGCAGGAGACCTCCCATGTGGACAGTAGATGGTGCATGGAGGAGTTGTCTTCAGAGCTGGAGATCAGCTCGATTGCAGAGCTGATCTCCAGCTCCATGCACCATTTAATTCATCCATGGGGTGCTGCACCTCCCTGCCCAGTTTTCAGTGGTTGTCAGAGGGTCTGGACACCTCTGTAGTACATCCTGTTGTTGTTTCTCTGCTTCCTCCTTCTCCTTCTCCTCTTGGTTCAGCTACAGCAGCATCATTTTTCTGGAAGATGGGGCACAGGCCCCCACCAGAAGGTTGATATTCCCATTGATGCACAAACCAAAAGCCCCTGCAGGGCAGCCCCCTCCCCCATTGTGCCCAAGGGCTGACCTTTCATTGAGTCCCTTCTCTTCCATGGAAATTATGTGATTTTTTTTTTTTAAGTGTTCTAGCCATATGCATAAACCTTTTTTAAAAAGGGCGAGCTCTCCACCCCCCAGGAGAAGTGGCTATTCCAGCAGTGGACCCTCCTGGTTTGGGGTTGGCTGGTTGGTGAGGGGCTGTCCACACACAGAGTTCTTTCTTTCCATCCCTGGCTGGAAGTGGAGAATGAGGTGCTGTTCTGAAAGTAACTTGCAACTACATTACCAGCTTCCTTGCTGAGGCATGGTAAAAGGTAGGCTATGGGTTTTCTCTTGGCATGAGTCCTAAGTTCGAAAATGGGCTGGATCTGTCCAGGGGCTGCAGAGGAAAAAAAAAATCCTGAAAAATTCTCTCTGTGCACCCCTATGGAGAAGCAGGGACTCAGAATGTTGCTGACTGCTCCATTCTAAGTCCCCCTCCAGTCTCCCTTGAAGTCATGTGACCCAGAGTAGAATTATCCTTATGAGTTTCGGAAGGATTCCAGACTTGGTGCTCAGCATGTTTCCTATCTTGTTTTCTTTTGTATCCTGTCTGTTAGAATGTGAGCCTACAAAACAGTCCACATTGTTTTCAATCCAATAGACCCTAGAACAGATTTATTTTAAGAATTTTATTAATATATGTAATCTCACCCTTTGTCGAATACTTCCACACACACCCCATTTTTAAATATTATAAGAACACTAAATGGACTTTTGGCTTTTGGATCAGTACTTATTCTTCTTGAGTTCTATGATAGGATTTGATTACAGCTTGCCCAGGGTAGGGGTTGGACTAGAAGATCTCTAAGGTCCCTTTAAATCCTATCATTTCTGATTCCAGTATGATTGTCCTACAAAAGAATTGCGATTGAGCTATGTAAGTAGAAACATGCAGGCCTTCCACCCCCAAATCTAAGATCTTAGTCTTTTGGTCTAATAAGGCTAACTAGTACTACATTTTGTATCCACTGAGCGCAACAGGATGCTTTCAGGAAGACCATTATCAGCATACAAATACAGTTGAGACCTTCTGCTCATGTTCCCAAGCAACCAGTTCTCAGTAACCAGAACGGAGAAGTATATTGCCTCTCTGGAGGTGGTAACATACAGCCATCACATCTAGTAGCCGTCTGGAGCCTTAACTTCCGTGAATTTATTTAATCACTTCTTAAGTTATCCAAGATGGTAGCCATCATTCAATCCTGAGCAAATGAATTCCACAATTTATCTACACACGGTATAAAGAAATGCATTTTATCCAGGAAGGCGTTCTTCATACGATGTAATGATGTGGGTGTTTAATTCCTCCTGCATCTACTGAGACTCAGCCTCTGCCAAATGGCCTTCCAAGAAATGATGCTTGGTCTTCCTAGTAACTTTTTCCTTTAGAGATCGGAGGATGACACAAGAGGATTAACTATCCTTGGCTGGATCCTAAACAAGAGGAAAGGTTAGGTAGGATTCTTTCTAGTGACTTGCAGTATCCTTTAACATCACCCATACGTTTCTGGGGCCATGTAAAGCCTATCCTCATTTCTGTTATATCACACAATGAGGGTAGGATGGCTCTAGAACGATGTTTCACAACCTTGGGAACTTTAAGATGTGTGGACTTCAACTCTCAGAATTCCCCGGCTAGCATGGCTGGCTGGGGAATTCTGGGAGTTGAAATCCACACATCTTAAAGTTGCCAAGGTTGAGAAACACTGCTCTAGAAGGTGCTACTGGCCTTTCTCCAGAAGAAAAAGTTGGAGTTGGCAGAAAACAGCACTGACATGAAATGTGCAATCTCCATGGCCAATCCTCCTAACTCTGTTGCCTGAGTTTTCAATCACTGCTAAGCCTCTTGCTTCTCTCCAAGGTAATGGGTAACAGAGTCTAACAAATGTTATCCACCATGAAGCTGTCTTTAGATGATGTTGGAATAAGGAGAAAAATACCATATTACTTGCCATAGTGGGGAATATACAGTATGTAGCTCAGAGTTGAACTGCTGGGTTCTTGGTGATTTCAGACCCTGCTTCCTTTCCTGGAGACATTTTATTCCCAGGCTAGGTAACATCATCAGTGCAGAGGGAGTGAAGAGTGCTGGTGGCTCATCCTACCAGTCTTGATTGGGGTATTGTATCCTTTTGCTCATTCTTATTTCTCTGATGCTGGTTCCTGCTTATCTGGTTAATAGTTATGTGATGAGGAAGGGTGTGTTTAGGTCTGTTTAGCACTTTCCTTGACCTTGGATTGCCTCCTTTTTTGAATAGTCTGTAGATGGAACTTTTCTCAATGTGTCTGTCAGTGGCTGATTCATCTGAATGAAGAACAATCAAATAAGAAACAATACCCCACCCAGAAAGTAATCCAGGAAAAACCAATATTCCAGTCAAGATTGGTAGGAAAAGCTAGCAGATATAAACAGCCAGCAACTCCACTGCATTATTCACTGACAGTGTTACCTAGCCTGGTCATGAAATGTCTGCAGGAAGAGAAGCAAGCTTAGAGAAGCAAGCTCAACAACAGGAACCCAGCCTACAATACTACTTTCTTTGGGTTTGGCTAACAGCATTTTAAGGCCATCCCATTCATGGGCTGGGAACAAGAGGAAAGCAACAATACGGGGGACAAGGGAGGGCAGAGCATGATTGTGTCAGGATAAGGTCCATGCGGGGACCTGGCCTGTATGCCGAATGTTGAAGGAAGTGAGCATGTAATGCCGGAGTTCTTGATTTCAAGGGAAGTAAAGCTGCATGTAGCTGAACATATATTTTCAAAATAGCAGATTTTAATAAGAGCAATAAGTAGGATTCGTTGGGAGGGGAAACTAATGGAAAAAGGAGCCCAGAAAAGGTGGGGATTCCTAAAACAGGAGATACTAAAAACACATTTGCAATCAGTTCCAATCGCAAAAAAAAGAGGACAGAAAAAGAGGCCAATGAGGTGACTAAAAAATCTTAGTAAAGATGTGAAAACAGAACAGGGCACACAACAGAGGTAAAAAAAGGGGCTGAGGTAAGGGAAACTAAAGATTAAAATAAGCTGAATTTGGTAAAGGTTGATAAGAACAATGAAAAAGGGATTCTATAAATAGGGTTTTTAAAAAGGAAAAGGAAAGATCACAAAATACAGACAACAAAGAAAAGACAGAACTAATCAGGTCCTATTTCATTTCAATCTTTCCCAGCCAGAAGACAACTATAAAGAACAGAACAAAGCTTGAAATTGATAGAAATGTGATCAGGGAACACCAGATTACTTTCAGTGCATTCGGGGGTGTCTGCAGAGTATGGTTAAAAAAAAGAAAAAGAAAATGGCAGCCATGACATTGTGATATGACGCCTAGAAAAACAGATGGAGCTTTGATTGCATCATTGCACCTGCCATTTTGACTTTTTTTGACCATACAGTGTAGACACCCCTGAATGAAATTAAATCTTCAGGAACTGATGAATTGCAATCTAGGGTACTGAAGGAATTTGCTGATGTCTAACTGAACCGCTATGTATTATTTTTGAGAAATTCTGAACAATGGGTGAAGTGCCAGACAATTGGCAGATAGCAAATATTGTTCTTGTGTTCAAAAAGGGAGGAAAAGGATGCAGGGAATTATAGACTATTCAGTCTGGCATTGATACCTAGGAAGACTAAAGAATTCAATGTGGAAGCACTGTAAAAGCAATGCG